CAGCTAGAGCACCTCATGATCTCATGTCGGGCCTTCCATCTGCCGAGGGAATTCACATCTGTTGTGATAACAGCAGTGTATATCCGCCGCAGCCCACTCGCCGACAACAACACGGCACTCGATCAGCTGTTTGGGATTATTGATAAAACCGAGACTTCACGGCCAGATGCGGCGTTCGTTGTGGCCGGAGATTTCAACACCGCCAACATGAAGAAGGTTTTGCCAAAATATTACCAACACATCAACTTCCCGACGCGCGGGGGGAAACATACTGGACCATGTTTATTCCCCTTTCCGGAATGGATATAAGGCTCTCCCTCGCCCTCCCCTTCGGCAAATCAGACCATATCTCATTACTGTTGTTGCCTGCGTACAAGCAGAAACTTAAAAGGGACAGACCGATACAAGAACAGTACAACGATGGAGCGTGGAGTCAGATGAGGCACTGCAGGATTGCTTTGGCATCCACGGATTGGAGTGTGTTTGAGGACAATAAACATCAACACACACACGGACACTGTCATCTGCTACATTGGGAAATGCATCGATGACGTGGTACCGAAGGTTTCTGTACGGGACATTCCCAAATCAAAAGCCCTGGGTAAACGGTGAGGTGCGCGGCAAACTGAAAGCGCGCACTATCGCGCACAGAGAGCTGGAGATTTGGAGGGAGTTACAGGAAGTCTAGGTATGATCTCCGGAGAGCAATTAAAATGCAAAGAGGACAGTACAAAGACAAGGTGGAATCTGACCTTCAAAGGCTTTGTAACACTAGGAATAGTGGGCGGGACTAAGGACAATGACTGACTACAAAGGAGCAGCGGGGGGGTGCTGCTGGGAGTGTCTGCCGTGCGCATCTCTCCCAGGATGAGCTGAACAGCTTTTTTGCACGCTTTGAGAGCAGCCGGGCTGTGGAGGTACAGAGGTGACCAGGAGCTACACTGCCCTTTTGTTTTTTAAACAGGGCAGATGTGTGTAAATCCTTTAAAAGGGTTAACCCACACAAGGCTCCTGGACCTGATGGCATCCCTGGCCGTTGTTCTCAGGGTGTGTGTGCAGTTTTCAGCTGGGCCAGAGGTGGTTCACAGACATCTTCAACAGGTCCTGCTGCAGTCTGTAGTCCCCACATGTCTTAAACACTCCACCATCATTCCTGTCCCCAAAAAAGACAATCATCACCTGCCCCAACGACTACCGCCCAGTAGCACTCACCTCCATCATAATGAAGTGGCTTTGAGCGGTTAGTCAAATTATTCATCACCTCCTCCCTCCCTGAATCTCTGGACCCCCTGCAGTTTGCCTACAGAGCAAACAGGTCCACAGACGACGCCATAGCCCTCACCCTCCACGCTGCCCTCTCACACCTGGACCCGAAGAAACAGGAAACACATATGTGAGAATGCTGTTCATTGGACTTACAGTTCAGCATTCAATACCATTGTGCCCCTCCAAGCTGGCCATCAAGCTCAGAGATCTCGGGCTCAACAGCGCCCCTCTGTGACTGGATCCTGAACTTTCCTGACGGGCAGACCCCAGGCAGTGGCGGGTGGGAAACATCACATCCTCCACCCTGATTCTAAACACCGGTGCCCCTCAAGGCTGCGTGCTCAGCCCTCTTCCTCTACTCCCTGTTCACTTCACGACTCGCGTGGCCACACACAGCTCCAACACCATCGTGAAGTTTGCTGATGACACGACCGTCATCGGCCAGATCACAGATGATGACGAGACGGCGTACAGAGAGGAGATCGAAAACCTGACATCTTGGTGCCAGGATAACAACCTCCATCTCAACATCAGCAAAACAAAGGAGCTGATTGTGGACTACAGGAAAGCAGCAGGGAGAGGGACACGCCCCATCGCCATCAATGGGACTACGGTGGAGAGAGTCAAAAGCTTCAGGTCTCCTTGGGGTCCACATCACTGAGGACCTGACATGGTCTCTTCACACCACCACCATCACCAAGAAAGCTCGACAGCGGCTCTTCTTCCTCCGCAGGTTGAGGAGGTTCAAAATGGATTCCAGGATACTCTGCAACTTTCTACAGGTGCACCATAGAGAGTATCCTGACCTTCTACAGGTGCACGATAGAGAGCATCCTGACTGGGCAGCATCACGGCCTGTACGGCAGCTGCACCGACCTCACATCGTAAGGCTTTACAGAGGGTGGTGAAAACTGCACAGCACATCACCAGGACGGAGCTGCCATCCATGGAGGACCTTTACTCCCAGCGGCTCAGGAGAAGAAATCACTACGGATTATCAAAGACCCACCCATCACCCCAGCCACAAACTGTTCTTTCTGTTGCCGTCTGGCAGACGGTTACCGCAGCATCCTGGCAAGGACAAGAAGATTCGGAGACAGTTTCTTCCCGCGGGCAGTGAGCCTGTTAAAACAATTGAACTGTTAAAACAAACATCAAACATTCATCTGCTACTCAGTAGTATGTATCTAATACCTAATATATATAAATCATTCCAATAACTTGTATATAGACT